ATAGAGTTGTGAACAAAATCTTCCAAGGTCCCTGCTCTCCTGGAGCTTACAGTCTAGTGGGGAAGCCAGACTGTAATCAAGTAATCATACTAAAACGTATAGTTTTAGCCATGAAAGTGTTTGAAGGAGAGGCATGTAGGGCTATGAAGGTATATAATGCAAAGAGCTGGTATACTCTGGGTAAGTGGTTCTCAAAGTGTGGTCCCTGGACCAGCAGCCTCAGTGTCACCTGTGAACTAGTTAGAGATACACGTTCTCATTTCCCACCCCAGACCCACGGGATTAGAAACATCTGTGTTTCCACACATCCTCAGGAGATTGTGATGCACTCTCAAGTGTGAGAACTCTTGCTTCAGGTGGTCAAAGAAGGCCTCTCTGAAGAAATAACTTTTGAATTGTGAAGGAAAACTAGGTCATAGGGTAGGGTCTGGGAAGTATTTCAGACAGAAAGAATGGCATGTGTCAAAGCCCTCTAGTCAGAGCAGAGAGCTTTTGAAAACATGAGGGAGTACTCCAGGAGAGGAGAGTGATACAGGAGGAGTCTGGACAGGTTGCTAGGGGCCGGGATATCCAGGTCAAGGAGGTCTTACCAGGGATGGGGCAATGAGAAGCTTTTGGTGTGCTTTAAACACAGGGGTGACACGATCTTATTTGTTTTCATTTAAAGAATAATTCTAGCTACAGTATGGAGAAAGGATTGAAGAGGAGCAAGAGTAGACGAGTCGGAGGCTATTGCAGGGGGCTGGGGAAAGATGATGGTAACTTGGACTAGGGTGATTTCTGGGGAGATGGAAAGAAAAGTGAATAATCACAAGATTCTTAGATAAAGTCCACAGGTCTTGGTCATCACTTGGAGGTGTCAAGGATGACTCTGGCATTTTTTATTTACAGGCAAGATGGAAGATATTGATACCAAGTTTGGCACTGGGAAGAGATGATGAGAAGATCTTGCTAGGTTGAGGTGCCTTTGAACCACCAAAGTGTAGATATCAGTTAGATGGTGGAAGGTGTGGGTCTAGAGCTCTGAAGAGGGGTAATGGCTGATAGTACCCACTGGGCAGTCATCAAAAGCCAAATGGCAACTGAAATTGTGGGCCAGGATGAGAGTGCCCAGGGAGAAAGAACATAATGAAGAGAAGAAAGCCAGAATGTTCATTGAAGAACTTCAACATTCTTGTTGGTCAGGTGGAGTTAGGATGACCCCCATACAACACATTTAGTGTAAAGAGCCAAAGGAAAGAGGAAAACTAGAAATTAGGAGAATATAGTGCCAAAGAGGGGAAGAGGAGAGGGAGGTTCAAGGAGGCAGTGCTCAATGATCTTGAGTAGATAAATCAGGCAAGAGGCAGCTGAAGAATGCCTGTTGGAGTAAGTGACATAGAAGGTCATTTGTAGCTTTAGCAAGAGATATTTCAGTAGAGTGAAGAGAGCAGGAGCCAGAATGAAGTGGATTGAGGTGGTAATCAAAGGTGAGGAAATGGAGAAAGTGAGTCTAGACAGCATTTTGGAAATGTTTGTAAAGAGGAGGAGAGGGCACCTGTTGATGAGATGTGGAGTCAAGAGGATTGTTCTGGTTTGTTTGCTTTTTGAGTGCAAGTGGTTCTTTGTTTGTTTGTTGAGTGCAAGTGGTTCTTGCTTGCTAAAACCTAGGGATTTGATTGAAAGGGGATGGTTGAATCAAAGAGAGATGTGACCATTCAGGATCCTAATCACAGATGGGAAAGTACAGAGGTTCATGGATTCTGTAGTTTCTGCTCTCGCCTGGATTTTTCTGAACCTCTGTGATAGCCCAAGGCCAGATCCCTTGACCTGGAAAGCCTACCTTCCCTTCTTTCTTGGCATCTCTCCTCCCTGCTGTCTCGCCTGCCCGCAGCCCCTTCCTGCAGCCGCTCAGCTGTTTTCTCAGCTTTGTTCACCCACTGTTAAGTTATTAACTTGTCAGGGTCTAGACTCCCCACTTCCTTTCCCACTTTGAATCCGCTGTTGGCTGCCTTCCTGTTTGCTGCCTCGGAAAGTCGCATTTGGAAGGCGGGGGCTACCCTGTGGGTCATTACTGGCAGGCACCCAGACATACAATTAATATAATTGGTATAGGATGTTGAAGCCTTCTTAAAGACATTGATATGACTGAAAAAGGAATAATAAGCGCAACTCTCTCTCCATTATCTTAGATTTGGAGGCAAATGGTGAGCTTAAAATAGACTTTCTTCAAAGTAATTTCTCCAAAAGGGTTCAGTTTTAAAGGGTCACCTGTAAACATGTTAAGGACCATCAGATTTTTACATGTTAATTCATGGATTCAATCAGAGGCAGGAATGATCTTTAGATTTTACAAAAGACTCAGAAATAAGTAAGTTGTTTTCATATAAGTGTTGCTACTCTGAGACAAGCAAATTTTGTTCAAGATTCTTTACAGAAATTTGCAGCAGTTCCTTAAAAGGAATCGAGTGGTTTTATCATTACCTAGCACTTTTGAAGTCATGCATTAATTTAATGGGCATGATGGTCCATGGCACAGACTGTTTGCTTGTTCACTGACCTACATTCTGCTGATAATGATTTCTTGTCTAAGGATAAAATAAAGGGAGAAATAACGTTTTTGAGCATCTTTTATGGGCAGATCTTTTACTGATGTCATCACATTTGTTCCTTGCAATCTTTTGAGGTATATGTACAAATTCTCTACAGTTTTACAAATAGAGAAATCCAAGCTCAGAGCTCTTTAGTAATTTCCCAAAGTTCACACCTCTCGGGAATGGCAGGTAGTACTTGCGCTCTGGTCTTCATGCTCATCCATGGAGCAGCAGCCGTCATTGTTGTAGTAACAGTAATGATGGCAATAGCGCCCATGCCTTCCAGCCTTGTGTGAGGAGCCTTCACATGTGTTCTGTCGAGTCTAACAACACTGCAAGTACCGTGGTCCTCATTTCATAGAAGAGGAAACAGGCTCAAAGAGGTTATTTGCCCAATCGCACAGCTATTCAGTGAAGAACTAGGACTCAAACTCAATTCCATCCAGCCTAACAGTCCTTTCTAAAGTGAACTTGTTTTTCAAGATTAGGAATGTTTCCCTGATCCCACGAAGGAAGCCTGAGGCACGGTGCATGTAAATACTATTTTCCTAATGTTGTTGAATATCCAGCTGCCTCCCAGCACTCCTGTTGAGCCAGAATACAGAATGTTTATTTCATTTTTATTCCTTGTCAGCCTTGGGAGGGCAGGACAGAAACATCAGCTATTTCTGCAAGCTTATACATTTTGGAAAGGTACTGTCTCATCCATCTAGCAATTTCTCTTGTCAAGACCCACCCAAACGCCCAGAGCAAGCCAAGAAAACCTCTGAGCACAACCAGAATTAACTATCACCAGTTGTTGAATTAACTCCTTTGCTGTATCCAGAGAGGAGTCCCTCCGACATTCACCCAGAGCTGGTTTACTCTGATTTCACACAGCATTCTAACAGTCTGTTTCCAGCTCAGTTACAGCAATGTAGTAGGAGAGAGCCCACTGCAGATTGGTGTAGGGACACCAGAGACGTGACCAGAGAGAAGGATAATTGAGACTGAAAAAAAAAAATGGTAAGAAGCAGAAATGAGAGCCCAGAGTACAGCCAACCAGAACTATTTTGGTGTTAGATCAAACCCTGTGCATCCTCCATAAAAATGTTACAGCAGAGTCTTATCAATTACTGTTTTTCATTACGGTCACACTGAACATTCATGACAAGTTACCATTACATCATGTTTGGTGTATATCCAACTTAGGAAAGTTGTGAGGATGTGTGCAGTATTATTTCAGAAAAAGACAAAACAAAACAAAAAATGCATTAGGGCTTTATCTACCCTTCAAATCTAGCTGTCCAAGAAAGATCCCCTAGGGCCCTGTGTGTTCTCTTTGTACTCCAGAAGCACAGAGCCTGGCACAGAGTATGCCCTCACTAACGTTAGATGATGAAATGTCCAACGACTTGTTTCCTGAGGGTTCTGGGTAGCCTGATTTACTGTGGTCACTCAGGAAGCTGCATTCCTGGGTGTAGTCCAGGATGACTTTATGAAGGAGAAGGGGGGTAAGACCCCCTGAGAGCTCAGTGTTTATTCTGCTTTTACACATAGTTAAATGAGATGATACCCAAGCTCCCCTCAAAATAAAAAAGTCATTCAATACATGGTAGTTGCTGTTATCATCATTACCATCACCTCATCAAGAGGGACCAATATTGTCTGCTGGGGAGGATGTAAAAAAGAAGTTGGGACATTCCTCTCCTGGGACACCTTTGAGCCCAATAGAGAGGACCAGGCTGGGAGTTATCTAACCAGCTTTTACCAAGATAAATGGAGGTCCCAGGAATTCTCTGTGGGTTCACAGGCTACCTGCCCCCTCGGTGTATCAGGAACGAGGTCCAGTTAGTGAAGACCGAGCCCTGAATAAATCAGTGTCACTCTCGGTCGATGAGAGACAGCCACATTTCAGAAGGGTGCGGGCACCCAGAAGATGTGCTTGCGGGAAGGATTATGGGCAGCCCAGGCGCTCAGCCTCCTGCTTCTGCTCCCAGCACCTGGCCTGCCTTCCCAGCTCAGGGGCTGCTTGTTTTCCAGGTCACGGCCATTTTGAAAAGGCGGCTTCGCTGACCTGTTAAATGAGTGCAGTGCCTGCATAGAAGCCCTGGCCCGCTCTCCCCAGCAGCAGCAGAACAGTCTGGGAATGGGGGCCAAATCTCTCAGCCCCTGAGGGATTTCTGGCCTTAACTCCTGGTGGAATTAGCAGGAGTTATCTATAAATTCCTGAGGCACCCATCAGCGGACAAAGCAAGACTGCCTCTTTAGAGAGTTCACTGACCTCTTGTTAACTTAACTCCTTGTTGCAAATATCTAATCAGCTGTGTGCTAACACGTCAGGGGCTCAGGGGTCAGCTAAAGCCGGGTTCATCCGCCGCCCGCCTGGGGTTGGGTTTCCAGCTGTGTGCTGTCTGGTATCTGAGCTGTTGTGTTTTCCTCTTCCAGCTATCTTTCAGATCATTCAGAGCATAAGGATGGGCATGTGAGAAGGCCCGGGGATTTGCCACTGCCCCCTCCCGCTGGCGGCTGGAGGACCACTTAAGCTTTGAGCCGGGGATCTGTGGGAAGCAGAGCAGCCACACAGAATAGAAAAAGGCTCCCTCACTTGTTCCCTGACCACTTCATCATGGATGTCAGACCAAATTGCCTCTCACAGGACATCTTGGGACATCCGTGTTCTCGAGCGGAAAGGACATTTTGCTTTTCTGTTGACAGGATTGGGAGCTCCGGGTGTCTGCAGCAGGGCCCTGTGGTGGGTTTCTCCCTTGCTTTCACTAATGTCTGCATGTGGCCCTCTGAGTTGTCACTGGTTTCCTTTCTATGGATACGGTCTCTCCTCCATTGGGAATTGGTTGTACAAATAAATGTCTTTGTTCAACCTTATGCCATGTGTGGGTTACAGTGAGAAAACTGAAGTGAAGAAAATGTCAGAATAGCCCCAGGGGCTTGGGGCAGGTGGAGGAACTTGATTATGTAATTGGGAAAGGGTCGTGGAATCTGCGGCCAGGGAACCAGAGCTAGATTTACGCAGCAGGGCCTTGGCCGACCCTCAAGGTCTTTGCCTGAAATGAAGCCCTGAGTGGCTCTAATGACTTCAGGTTTTCCACACATTAAGCATTTTTTTTTTTGGTCTTTTTGGGGGTTTTTGTTTGTTTGGATTTTTTTAATCCAGAAAAGGCAACTACGATGTGTGTTAAAGTCCAGTTAGCAGTTATCTCCTCCATGGTCTGCCTTCGGGCTTGGCTCAGCAGATGTCTAAGGCCTCTGTGAAAACTCCCCAACCTCAGGGCCCAGCCCTGCCCTAATAGAGAGCACTGGGCAGGCAGGAGTCCCGCTTTATTTGGGGTGGGCAGCTGGGAGGATGGGTGGGTGAGGCGCAAGACTGGTGCGTGGAACCCTCCCCTCCCGGGCCAGCCCTCCCCACAGCCTCTCAGAGGGTCGTCTGCTGCATCAGCATCTCGGCAAGTGGGAGAGTCAGGGAAGACGCATCTCAAAATGCAGGCTCTTGGGTTCCACCTCCAGCCTGATAACCCAATCACTGCAGGTGGGGCCAAGAGCAAATATTTGGTACAAGCTCCCTGGGTGAGGCTCTGCACGCTAAATTTTGAGAACCACAATTCCGAGAAAGCCCAGCTAAAAAGGGAATGGGGTTTTGTCCCATTCCCAAGCAGCGAAGGCAGCCAAACCTGCTCTTAAGCAGGTTTCTATCCTGGCAGCGACGGCAGTGAGAACCGGCCTGCCCTTTCGTTTGGACTTCTAATATCCCCTAAGGAAGTCATAGGGACAGCACAGAGATCACCGACAGGATTATAGATGTCCACCATGCAACTTTAAACATCCTTGGGTTGTTTTTTTTAATTCCATCTTTGCATTCTTGGCAATTTTTCTCATCCCTTAATATTGTGAGAGCTTTAAAAATAAAAGTGGCCAGGACTTTTCTTGACCCCTTGAGGGGCTTTGTTGTAAGAAATAGAGGTGGGGGCTTTTTGTCCCCTAGAGTCTTTCCCCCAGACCCTTTAGTGATGTCCTTTAAGGCTTTCTTTCTCCCATCCTCCAAGTTCCCCTCCTTCTGCTTTCCTTCTCACTGAGAAAAGAGGGTAGCAGGGCTGCTCCAAAATTAGCAGCCCCAGGGACAGCCTGCCACCCTTGTGCTCCCCACTACTCCCACCCCCTCGGCCCCTCCCAAGCCAGCAAAAGACATTTCCCACCACTTGAGGGCTGCACACAGTAGACACTCAGCAAGCTGGTCCCCTCATCCTGTTGGCTCTGTCTGGCCATCCTCTTCTAGGCCACTGAGTAAGACCAGTGTGCTGTGAAGGATTAGACCTCAGGGCTCCTGCCAAGGCCGAGAGAAGAAAGGCTTCTTGACGTAAGGTTGACCTCGTCTGCACTTGCGTGTACACCCTCTGACTCCCACATTGCCTAGACTTGATCTGAGTAGGGGATTTCCCTTCCTCCCCTAATGCCAAAAAAAGCACACCTACCAGACCATCATTCAAGGCCATTGCTGGGCCTGAGCTTTGTGGTTCATCTTTGATTGGACAGGCTTTTACCCCTCTTTGTTTGGTCTTTCCCACAACAACAGTAGTCAGTAGAGTGATTCTCCCCATTTCAAGAAAAGGGAAAGTGAAACTTGGCCCAGACTGGGATCCAGATAACCTCAGCTGTCCCCAGGCAACAGATGTGGTGGCTGAGTCAGCTGCCATGCGCAAAACTTCCCTTGATTGATTTACCTCCCCAGGCTCTGTGATCACCCACAAATTAGTTTTCTATTCGTTTCCAGGTCACCTCCCTAAAGTACTTGTATCTGACAGTCTGCCCTGCCTGGTGACTTCTTCCATCAGGCTTCTGCATGTGGAGATAGGAGCTGCCCTAAGTCAATTAGGGTCATGGGTGATTTATGCTGTACAGCGGGAGACAGACAAACATTTTTCGCAATGACAGAGAGTAAGAAATACATGGCAACCCAATGCACAATACGCCTACTGAAATGGGTTTTACAGAGCAACACTTATCCTTAACACAGGTCAGGCACTCTGATTTTTTTTCCTAGTCTATTTAATTTTTTTAATGCTGGTTGCACCCTCCTCAACTAATTTTATAACCCATGAGTAGGTTCCAACCTCCAGTTTGGAAAACACTGCTCTTCAGGGGAAAATGAAGCCCTTAGTGGGAGGCAGATAAGCAGGGCTGAAAAGGTAAGAAAGTTTAAATCCCACTGTGCATCCTCGTGAGAACCTGATGTCACATCTCTGTCACAGTCAGTCAATGCCCCCAGTGTCAAATAAGCAACTTCTTTTGGGATTTAAGGTATACTGCAGAGAGGGCACTAGCACTAGCACCGCCTCGAATGTATTGAAACAGTGTGAAACAAACATCAGGTTCCATTTGTCAGGTTCCCTTAAAGTGTGTTACAATCAATGGGGTGGAGATGGGCATGGGGGTGTTTAAAGCAAGAATCCACCAGGGCCTGCTGAGAATCAAATTCTCCAGGGAGGACACACAGGTATACCTTTTTTTTAAATGTCCGGATTATTCTGATGCTGCCCATCCACCAAAGAGCATTTGGGAAGCAATTCACCAGCAGACTTGGTTTAATTAAGCAAAGCAGGACCCTGAGGTAATACCCCCAAACCTAACACTGTTTCAACTCTGATCCACAAGAGCACCTCCCTTCTTCGACATTTTAAGCATTTGGGGTGCTCCACAGAGCTCTACAAGACACTGTGTCTTGTTTCCATTGAGGTATTGTGTGTCTTTGTCATCCAAGTAGACCACAGACTGGGGCACAGAGTGCTTAATGCTTGACGTTCAAAGCTCCGTAGGAGAGAAGAAGTGTGTGTGGTGGGAAGGCCTCCAGGGCACACTTACAGATCAAACACTGTTCCTGCGAAGGCCAGCATGCGGGTGAACATGCGTACTGTTGTTGCTTCCGAAGGGAAGGAAACATGCGCTCAGATATGTAGGCTGCACTTTGCTGTTAAGACGATTCTTATCCTGTCCAGACACGAGAATATTCTGCAGTTATTCCACACTTGGTCCCCAGAGCTTGGGAGGCAAGGTGTCGTTTGGGTGAGGTCCTTTATCATACAGAAGTCATCATCAGGCTCCAGCTGCAAACTGTGAAAGCTTATTGATAGCTCTCAGCCACGGGCGCCTTTCTTTGAAAATCTTCAAGTCCTGAAGCTTCCATCTGCCAGCCGTGGGTCTGTCTTCCTCTCCAGGGTTCAGGAAACCTTTTCAGTAAAGTGCCAGATAGTAGGTGTTTTAGGCTTTGTGGGCCACGTGGACTTGAGACTACTCAACTATGCTGTTGTACCTTGAAAGCAGCCATAGATAATATGTAAACGAGTGGACGCACTATGTTGTGATAAAACTTTATTTAAAAAACAAGTGGGCCTTGCAGAACCACTGTTTGCCAGTCCCGGCTCCGGAGCGGCAGTTCTCAAATAGTGGTTCCCTCCCTCCAGCCTCCTCATCACCGCCTGGCAACTTGTTAGACATGTAAATTGCCAGGCCTTAAGCCAGACCCACTGAATCAGAGACTCTGGGGTGGGGCCCAGCAGACTGGGTTTTAAGAGGCTTCCAGGTGATTCTCACGCAGGCGCAAGTTTGAGAACAACTCCTCTAGGTCCTGTGCCAAACTCGTCTGCTCCAGGTTCAGCCACACCCCTACAAGGGCCTCTTCCCCTTCATCCCTCACAATTTAGGTATACACTTAGTACTTAATTTACTATTTTGTACCTAGGGTTTTGCTCTCTGCTTGTTTCGTGCCTCGATATTTTGTTTTGCAATTAGGTTGAAAACTCCTAAAAGGTAGAATCTGTGTCTTTGACTTCTGTCTCCACCCCATCATTGCTCTATTTTAAGCATTTAAAAAGGCAGGGGGGACCTTTCCTTTATTAGCTTCTTGGATCTTAGAGAAGATAGTTACGCATAGAATTGTCAGCTCACAATTCATTTCTCAAAAATATACACTAAGTGCCTAACATGTGCCAGGCCCTGTTTTAAGACCCTCAGTCCCTTCCTTCTTGAAACTTGCATTCTAGTGGGGAGACCTAATAAACACATAAATATGTCACTAAGTACCGGGAAGAAAAATATAGCAAGAGAGCATGATGGTGACTGGTAGGGTGGATGGGGTTTTAAACAGCATCATCAGAGGACAGCCAAGAAGAGACCACTGTATTTTTATGACCTAAAAGAGAACAGGTAGGCCTTTTTATATAATCCTCTTTACCAATAGAGCCCTAACAGTATTCATCTCAGTATGAGTCAGGCTTGAATGGGCCAGGCTGCAGTAACGACGGCAGAAGCTCAGTCGCTCAGCACAATGCACGTTTACTTCTCTGCACACAGGACGGATGCAGGCTGCCGAGGGCGTCTCTCCAAGCAGTGTCTCAGTAATCTAGTGACGCTGCCATCACAACACAAGTTCGCCTCAGCACTGAAAGAGATGTAGGAGGGACAGCAGCTCGTCACTGCCTTGGCCCTGAAGTGACACTTCACTTCTGCTCACCACTGTACTGGCCAAAGCTAGTCATGTGGTCCCAATTTATCTGCAAGGAAGACTGGGAAATGTCAGGGTGCAGGTGTATATTTGGTGAACTCCGATGCTGCCACAATACTCACTGTATTTTTAGCATGTTGCATGATTGCAAGCTTCCACGTTTAGTTGAGGTCGATTTTCTAGCCATCACCTTTTCTTAGGGACTTAATCTCACCCTGCTCATTAGGCCTCTAGAGCCAATCTGTGCACAGCTCGTAGTCAGTGGCTCAGAGGAGGCTTGCCGTGGGCTACGGGTAGGTGACCATGTGATTTATCACCCAAGCCAGGATACTCTCAAGCGTAAAGGGAGTACTGTTAATAATTATACCAGGAC